CGCCCGTCCTGGGCAGGGCGCCTCAGCCGGCTGGTGCCCCGCCGCCTGCTGTCCCCTGCAGTGAGCTCCGGGAGGCTGTGGGTGGCAGTGTCCGCCCGGCAACTCCCCGGCTCTGGGGCAGCGGCTGCAGCCTCCGGCTGCCCCGCCTCCCAGGGCCTTTCCTGGAAGAGCGTCGGCCAGGTCACTGCCCCGCGACGGAGATAACAGGGAGGCGGATTAGAAACAGATCAGTGACTTTCTGATTACAGGCGAGGAAGGGCAGAACTCAGAGGCTCCAGCAGGTGGGGCAGTGACCAGGGATTCATAAGCCACGGGCAAAACGGCAGTCCTGCCCTTCCAGCGGCTCGGTCATGGTCACGGAGCAGCAGCCCCTCACCACCCACCACAAACACTCCCCAGATGCCTGCCATTCCCAGTGCAACGGGGCCCCAAACCTTTAACCACAGCACTCTCCTGACCCTGACCCTGATCCTGACCCTGATCCTGATCCTGATCCTGATCCTGATCCTGACCCTAACCCTGACGCTGATCCTGATCCTGATCCTGACCCTGATCCTGATCCTGACCCTGACCCTGATCCTGATCCTGATCCTGATCCTGACCCTGATCCTGACCCTGACCCTGATCCTGACCCTGGCCCTGATCCTGACCCTGATCCTGACCCTGACCCTGATCCTGACCCTGACCCTGATCCTGATCCTGATCCTGATCCTGATCCTGATCCTGACCCTGACCCTGATCCTGACCCTGGCCCTGATCCTGACCCTGATCCTGACCCTGACCCTGATCCTGACCCTGATCCTGATCCTGATCCTGATCCTGATCCTGACCCTGACCCTGACCCTGATCCTGATCCTGATCCTGACCCTGACCCTGATCCTGACCCTGATCCTGATCCTGACCCTGATCCTGACCCTGATCCTGATCCTGATCCCGACCCTGATCCTGACCCTGATCCTGATCCTGATCCTGACCCTAACCCTGACGCTGATCCTGATCCTGATCCTGACCCTGACCCTGATCCTGACCCTGACCCTGATCCTGANCCTGACCCTGACCCTGACCCTGACCCTGACCCTGACCCTGACCCTGACCCTGACCCTGACCCTGACCCTGACCCTGACCCTGACCCTGACCCTGACCCTGACCCTGACCCTGACCCTGACCCTGACCCTGACCCTGACCCTGACCCTGACCCTGACCCTGACCCTGACCCTGACCCTGACCCTGACCCTGACCCTGACCCTGACCCTGACCCTGACCCTGACCCTGACCCTGACCCTGACCCTGACCCTGACCCTGACCCTGACCCTGACCCTGACCCTGACCCTGACCCTGACCCTGACCCTGACCCTGACCCTGACCCTGACCCTGATCCTGACCCTGACCCTGACCCTGATCCTGACCCTGACCCTGACCCTGACCCTGATCCTGATCCTGACCCTGACCCTGACCCTGACCCTGACCCTGNGACCCTGATCCTGATCCTGATCCTGATCCTGATCCTGACCCTGACCCTGACCCTGATCCTGATCCTGATCCTGACCCTGGCCCTGACCTTGATCCTGATCCTGATCCTGACCCTGACCCTGGCCCTGACCCTGATCCTGGTCCTGACTCTGGCCCTGACCCTGATCCTGATCCTGATCCTGACCCTGACCCTGACCCTGATCCTGACCCTGGCCCTGATCCTGACCCTGACCCTGACCCTGACCCTGACCCTGATCCTGACCCTGCCCTGACCCTGATCCTGACCCTGACCCTGACCCTGATCCTGATCCTGATCCTGATCCCTGACCCTGACCCTGACCCTGACCCTGACCCTGACCCTGACCCTGACCCTGACCCTGACCCTGACCCTGACCCTGACCCTGACCCTGACCCTGACCCTGACCCTGACCCTGACCCTGACCCTGACCCTGACCCTGACCCTGACCCTGACCCTGACCCTGACCCTGACCCTGACCCTGACCCTGACCCTGACCCTGACCCTGACCCTGACCCTGACCCTGACCCTGACCCTGACCCTGACCCTGACCCTGACCCTGACCCTGACCCTGACCCTGACCCTGACCCTGACCCTGACCCTGATCCTGACCCTGATCCTGATCCTGATCCTGATCCTGATCCTGATCCTGATCCTGATCCAAGGGACAGGGCACACACACTGTACTGGCACAGGGATGTCTTCAGGTGCAGAAGCGAGGGGATGAGCACAGGCAGGACCAGGCCTGCCGGCCTGGACCCCTTGCCCGGCTTCTGCCCACGCATAGCACAGGCTTGGTCAGGGCCTGTGGCCAGTGAAGGCGGCGGGAGGGGGGGCTTCAAGAGTGTGGCCGAGAGAATCAGTGGACCAGGCTCAGTCCCACTCACTAGCTGCTTCAGAGCTTGTTTTTGACACATGCCCAGCAGGGACGGTGAGAAACGTTTCCCCGACAGGGTTGCTGGGAGGCTAGAAGAACACGGTGGAGAGTGTGATTTCGCCCTTGGGGAGCGCTGAGCACTTGCTCCTTCCCAGGGCTCTATTTTCCCTGACTCCAGACCCCCTGTGTTTCTCGGACCAGCTGTCTGTTTCACGCTGCCTTGAGATCATATTTTGCTATTGATAATCAGAGACCATGTTGTCCGAAGCATCATGATGACTTGTCCAAGTTCCCCGGATCTACGTGCCTCACAAGCCCGTCTTAGGATTTGTCTCAGCAGATTCAGTCACGATGTCGGGCTCCTCAAGCCTTCACCCCCACCACACACCCCACTACTGCCTCCGCCCTTTGGCTGCTGTTATCTACTCCACCAACGGAGACCACCCATTTCCTCTGCTTTTCAAAGTCCAGTCAGAGTTCTACTGTCTCCTTGATCCTGGGCCCACGTGGACTTTTCCATTTGTGAACTCCTGCAACACTATTCAAACAATACACCACGTGGATTAGCCTCTAGTGCTTTGGGTGGGTGTCTGCTCTCTCCCCAACTAGGTCATAAGCTATTCAGGAGCAGGACGCCCCCTGTATCCCTAATATCGGCTGGTAAACCGCCCAGATTCCCTGGGGATCTCTTACCAAGTGTAGATCCTGCCTCGGGAGAGAGGGCTGCTGACCACTGTCCTGTGGGACCTGGCCTCGAGACTGGCAGTCCGGGAGGCTATTGCCAGCACGTCAGAGAAATCTTTTAATAGCACCGTGTCCCTCAAACCCAAGGTTCCTACCAAAATTCTTGCAAAATTTTGGAAGACCTTCAGTGACCTTCGGTTAGACTGTTTTGCCATTTTTCTTGGCATGTTTGTCTGTGTCATTCAGGCTGGTGACATGCTCACTGCCTCGCCGTCACAGGGCCAGGCAGCTGTGTGCTGGCCTCTCCATTTGATTAGTGCCAGGTAACTGCTGTGCAACTTTCAACAGCCTATTTACCAAACCTGTGGCTGAAAGAACATGTAACACAGCTGTTCTTCCCCGAGGAATATTCGGCTGATGAAGACTCTGGGCTTCTCTGATTTTCTCCTTGTGGGAAGATGGTGTGTTATATACCTGCTGACTGGTCGCAGGGTCGAGCAGTAAAGGGGACAGTGGTCACTGTGCATGACACTGGTGTAAACAGTGATGGACGTAGACCTTACTGAACAAAACATCAGATAACAGAACGTGGCATTTGGGGGGAATCCTTTCATTGACACGTTTAAATATTGGTCTGTGGGGGAGAGTGACCAGTGGAGGGACCGTTGCAGGGACATGTGCCTTCCTGTCTTGATTCTCGAGCCTGTGGTGCCACCCAAGGCCGCCCTGGAAGCCTCTGCAGCAGGGGCCTAAGTGGCTTCATAGGCAGCCGCCCTGGAGACCCCAGAGGTCTTACAGAAACTACCTCCAGGCAGAGACACTGCCTGCCTTCCAAAAAGTACAGGAGCCTTCCTCCAGTCCAAAAATAGGCATTTTTTATTTCTCCATAGTCTGGTCTTCAGGTGACTCAGAAGCTCCAGTATTTGGCTAATTAGTATTTCAAGTGACAGGCAGGGCATAGCCCACAGACCACGGCGGGACCGGCAGGGACATTCAGGCCCACTGCGGAGGCTCGGGCTGGAGAAGGAAGTGGGGAGCAGGAAGGGCCGGGGCGGAGGCTCTGGGCTTGCGGTCCGGTCCTTCTGCTCTGGTCCAGAGCTAATCTAGAGGAAATGCCATGTCCTTTATTCACAAGTATTTACAGAAAACTGCAGCAAGTTCACTCCAGTTTAAGTCAAGTCTAGCAGGAAGCCTGACGGTCAACAACAGCATCCTCTGAGGTTGAGGGAGGTCTCTGAAAATGAACCAAAAGAAATTAAAATAACTACATTGCCTTTTAAGAAATACAAGAAAGAAAGCTCTCATATCTCTTCCCCTCATGTCTGAACAGCTCTCATTTCTGTTCCCCCGAAAGCACTCATATCTGAGGCTCAATATAACCTCTCTGGAGTTCAGATTTCCTGCCATCGAGGCTGCTTTTCTTAGGAGACTCAGCCACGCACTGAGCCGTCTGGGAGAGCGCATCGGCTGTTCCCCTTTCCCCTGCAGGCCACACAGGGCACTGGCCCAGTAGAAGTCTGTAAAATTTTCCCAGTGGTCAAGACTCTGGTTATCAAGCCACAGTGTTGATACGACCTGTGGGTCGCTGCCGGGGATGCCGCCCATCCTGAAATAAGTGAGGTCTCACTAGAGCCTTTCCGCCCTGGAGGAGATGGAAATCCTGTGTGAACTCACTCCCTGCTGTCACTCCTCAGCCACTCCTGTCCCCTGTGCCAATGCAGTTTCCTCCATGGCTTAAAAATTTACTACATACTTAAAATTTAACTCATGTTATATAAAGAAAAGTCAAGCTTTAAAATCTTCCCCTTCCCCCTGCTGTTCTATTTCCTTTAAAAATATCTTCATTGGTAACTTACCTTAAGAACTTGGGTCAAACGCAGCGTTTGTAAAAACTCCGTATGTCCCCAGGTGGCTAAGGAACAGAAACACAAAGATGCCCTGTCACATGGTGCCCAGTCGTTGACCACATAGTTTCTCAGACCGCGGGGTGCTGCCCACCCTGGAGTTCTGCTTTAAAAGGGAAAGAAGAAAGGCCAGCAGGATTCTCTAGAGCCCCCTAACAGCTCTGGAATTATCGCTGCCTTCTGCACCCAGGCGAAGTCGTCACTGAGGCCTGGGGTGCTGAATACCTGCTCTGCCCCCCACGGGGCTGCAGATTCTCCTTGGTGAGAGGAAATCGGTACAAAACCCCCAGCCTGGGGGCTGCACCATCGGGCAATAGCGTTCAAAGTGCAGTGGTATTGCCCTCTATGGGCGGTTTTAAATTTTCATCACGATCAAGAGTTCTGCGGACGTTTATGGGCAGGGACAGGGATGCTGGATGTCTTAATACACACGGGATGCAAAAGAATTGTCCTGCACTCCATACAACTTTAGAATATCTACTCGATATTCATAGGGGTGAAAAAATCTCTGAGCCTGGAACTTCACTGCTTTACATCTAAATATTAAGATGGCTTTTTTTTTTTTTTAATATATCTTTATTGATTTCAGAGAGAGGAAAGGAGAGGGAGAGACAGAAACATCAATGATGAGAGAGCCACCGATCAAGCCTGCACCCGGGCATGTGCCCTGACCGGGAATCGAACCCTGATCACCTGGATCCTAGGTCAACGCTCAACCGCTGAGCCGCGCCCCGCCGGGCGAGGTGGCTTTTTGTTTGTTTGTTAGCATCTTCTAAAACGCAACTGCAGTGTGAACTGAGGGGAGATTTTAACAGGTTTTCCAAACTTTGTGCCAATCGTTCATCATTTTAACAATCAGGTTGGCAACGCTCGGAGCCTTCTGAGTCACTCTTACAGTCTCCCTGTCGGTTGCCCTCTGCGGCTGCGGCCTTCGCAGTGATCCTACCTGAAGGAGCATTGCCAGTGCAGTGCCCCAGCTTTAGCATTTCATTTCTGCAACAACTCACCAACTCACTTTCCCTCCTATTTTTTATTTCTACTATAATTAGGGTACTTATTGATTTTTAAAAACATGTAGTTAAGATATATTATCTGTGCATTTAGTTTTGTTGCAAGAAGGGGGTGTTATATATAATTATTCTGACTTGTTATGGTGAATTAAAAAGTAAAACTAGAAAAATGAACTCAATCATAAAACATTTCCATCTTACCTGTGAGGGTTCAAGGGGTTTTTCCCATCATCTGAAATAAGCAAGAAGACACAAATGATTGGTTTAAAAGAAAAAACAAGGGCCAGGAGAAAGGGCATCGTGGTGGGATTATTGGGGAAAGTTGGTAGGCAGACTGATTTTCAGGTGGACTCATTGGAAGGGGCGTACTGGCCCTGAGAGGTAAGGCCTACTTGTTTTAAGCTAAATTAAACACTTGACATCGTAACTCCAGAGTCCTCCCACCTTTCCCCTCTTCCCTCTCAGTAACAACCCTCCTCCTGTGTCTGGTGCCTGCCTTCAGCCTCCTGGCAGCTTGGGTTGGCGTTGAGATCACTCAGCCTCTAGCGCTTGAGGCCCCCTGTCGTCCATCCTGTGCCACACTCCCTCCACCATCCCTCAGGCAAGTTAATTACATAAAGAAACCCATCCCAACTCCACGGCACAGCTTCCCTCCCTGGTGACATGTGATCAGGGCCTCCTATCTTCACCTAAACCATGAACCATGATAGTGGGAACTTAAAACACGGCAGCAGTCCTGTCAATCGAAGCACCTCATGGCTAAAAAGTTTTAAAATATCAGGTCCAATGGAGAACAAATATCTTTATGGCAGGGCATCATCGAGCCCTTAATGTGATAAGGGATGCGCACTTTGCATTTGCAGGAGAGGGACAGAGGAGGCCGCATTGTCCTGTCATTTGACCACAGAATCCTAGGAAGTTCAAACTTGAATCGGGACACGCCGAGGGAAAGTCCCCATCCTCACCAGTAAATGTGTTTATTGTTAAAGATACTGGAGGAGGAGCGGCTGCTGGTCCCTCCCCGTGATTCAGAAGGTTCCCTAGAAATGTCTCCGAGCTAAACAAGCGCGCGGGGGGAACGCAGGAAGAGTGTGGCTCCCACGAGGCACGGGGATGGCGTCTGGGCCGCTGGGTGGGTGAAGCGGGAGCAGTCGCTGCGCGCAGAGGTTGGGTGCAGGTCTTTGGGTTTTAAACAGTGTTGCTCTTGGTCTGCTGTCCTAGTCACCACTCACGGGAGAGCCCGGGAGGGACCTTAGGAAACCAGCCTCGGTGCCCTGGTGGCTTTGCGACTGGAGGGAGCGCAGGGCAGGGAACAGGCGGCTCTGCCCCTGAGCGGGTGAGAGTAGGGGTCGGGACCCCTTCGCTCCTTGAGACCTCCAGCAGGTGCTTTAGACGGAGCCACTTCCAGGTGCCTGGATTTGCGCATTCCCGGCCCTCTGATGCCCCTGTCACCTTCCATGAGGAACCATGAAGAGCCCCATTAGCTGACCCAGAGGTTTCTGAACGTAGGGACAGGCTCGGCATCTGAGGTGGACAGAGGGAGGGTGTGCTGACCCTGAGGAGATGGGTCCCTTCTTTCATTCCAGGCCAGAGCGCTTCCCACGAGCAGTCCCATAAGCACGGTTTCCCACGTAGGGTCTCCGCCCGTTCTGGCCCCTTCCCTGCTTACACCGGCTTTAGCTCCACATGTTTCCACGAGCACATACGTCTCCCGTAGCTTTTCGTGCCAAGGCATGAGCAGGGCGGCAGATCTTCGTACCTGCGGCTTCATTTCTCGCTTCCTCCGTGAGCCTTTTTGACTCCGACGCACTGAACTGCTGAGCAGAGTGCCTGCCCGGGGTCCAGCCTTTCAGGGCTCTCCCCACTCCCTCCGCTGGCACTCCGCTTTTGCTTCCCTTCCCCTTGGCAAGATCCCTCCTCCAAGAGCCTTTCCGAGCTATCAGGCTGGTTGGGACACCTGTCTTTCCTTCCTGTCACACTCAGGCTGTATGTGTCCTCACACAATCCTGCCCTTCAGTGTTAACATGGGTGTCACTTGTGTATCTCACCTACCGAATTACACATTCCTGCATATCAGGGACCATCATTCTGTTAGGTCCCACTGCCTAACACAGTAGGTCAATAAATGACTGAGGCATGAAGGAATGGTGGAGGGGATGACGGGGGGGAAGCAAGGCATGATTTTAATTAGTTTTGGTGGTAACTGAGTTTCCCTGGAGCAGAGGTCCCCAAATGCCAAAGGGGGTGGGCGTTGAAAAATTCAGATTTCCAAGCCCATTTCCAGCTCTCCCTATATGAAGATCTGTGTTTTTATAAAGTTCTTTATTTTTATAAAGGTGATTCTGACGGGCAGTCAGTTCTCAAGATCACGTCTCCTGGCCCTGTTTTCTTCTAATGCAAATGATTTCAAACTTGAGCTGCTGAAGTTGTGGTTTCCCCGCCCCACCCCAAATCACAGGAAAGAAGAACAGAAAGAGAAGACTCTTTCCTACTTACCTTTCTGCCTGAAGCGCCTTCTCAGCAGAGCCAGGAGTGTCCCACCCATCACCAAGCCAGTTGTGGAAGCCACTGCTCCACCGAAGTACGTCAGGGCTTCCTGGACTGTCAGCGGCCCCGCTGTGGAGCAACACACACACGAAGACTTAGAGGTGCACCGTGCAGAGGACCACGCTCCCAGAGGGGGGCTCAGAGTCCTAGGAGCTGAGATCAAGTGGGATCACCAGAGGTCCTGGCAAGTCACGAGACCTCATTTATCCCTAAGGCTTAATATCAAATGCAGTTTCCAAAGGAGTCAGGATAGGACATACTAAAAGGGATTAAAGGATCACATGGGAGACCCAAGAAATGGAAGCCTGGGAAGATAAAATAAGCCGTCGGTAATTTTTGTTGCACTAAAAATATAGTTATAGACCAAAAAGTAGTCATGACAAGCTGTAGAGAGAAAAAAGAAACAGAAAGACGGATGGAGGGATGAAATAAACCTCACAGACAGAAAGAGCTTAATTAAAGAACATCCGTGGCAGCTTTAGACTTAAAGGTATGTGATAGACAAACTTCTTCTGAGACAGATTAGGGATCTGCATAAAATCACCTCTAGTTTCAAACATTCTGAAACGTCAAGATGTATCACCCCCCAGGTTATAAAGAAATGAGAGGGCTTGTTTCATAAGTCTGAAGGAGGTGGCTGTCTACAGAGTCACAGGCTCCAATTCTCTCTGCACGTAGAAGGCAAGAAGGTGGGGCTTGATTCACTGTGAAATGTTTGTTAAATGCAGGGGAAGCCCGGTGATGAAAAGTGAGACACTGTCGGAAATACGGGGGAAACAAGGATTTTATTATTTTCTGTATTAGTGTGGCTTCCTAACCTATGAAGAATATACCTTGGCAGGTTGGCATGGCCGCTGACCACTGGCCACTGGGCTGGCATACTGTTGTCCTGGAGCCATTAAGCGACTGACCCTCTGGACACTGGAAGGTGCAGGTTGATCCATAGCTGAAATTTCCCCAAGGGTTGGAGCAGTTCATCAGCACTGGTTCAACCGTGTACAGCGCGGAGCATTGGACAGCTGCAGAAAAGAGGAACGTGGGAAAAACAAACGTGTAGAATGAGACTATGGTTTCATTTGTAACCTGACTACCATTGCCAGTAGATGAGCTAGAATGTCAAAGGTCTGAGAGGAGATGAGCCACTCGCAACATTCACACTAGCTCCTCCAACATCATGCATCCTGAGATGTCCGCTGGAGAATGCCAGCCAAGGAGCTAAGACGGGCACAGAGCAGCATCCAGGAAATACCTGCTACGGGATGGAGCAATCTTGCCTACAAAAATACCATTTATAAAATGTTGCTTCTCAAAAATCCTATTGGTCTAAATGTCATTATTACTACAGTTGACAATTAGCAGGCATGTCAGTATGTGTTATTAGATGTTGAATATTATGAAAATATTTTATAAGTGTTCAGCAAAGAAGTAGAGACCACCACCCTCTTTAAACTACTTTTCTAGCAACTTCAAGTCATTCACCCTAATTTGTGGATAGGAAGCTAAAGCTCAAGGAATTAAATTTAATTCACATAATCACTGAGAGTTAGTGACATGGTCAAAGCACTGCGCTGTGCTCTGTGGGGAGCACAAAGATCAAAGAGACACAGCGTGAGGATTAAAGATGGTGGCCAACTGAGCAGAAGCTACACTGACACTCTCCTGGGACCAAACTGGAATTACAACTAAAATATTTAAAAAAACATCCTGAATAATCAACTGCAACTGAAGATGACCTGGAGAGCACCCTTATAACCAAGGAGGAAAAGTGGAGACCACATAGAGACTGGTAGGAAGTGTGGAGGCACAGGAGGGCTGGCTGGGCTCCCACAGGCAGCAACCGGAGGTCTAGAGGGAGATCTCAGCTGTGGGGAGTTCCCACTGAGGACTCTGGGGTCTAAACCCCAAGCTGGGCTTCCCAGCCAAGAACACCAGAACTAAGAAAGGTGCCCACATAACATCTGGCTGTGAAAAGTAGTCAGGTTTCTGTTTGCCAGGGAGAGATGGCTGGAAATGCAGGCACCCTCTTAAAAAGAGTCAACACACAGTATCGTGTGCAGCGACTCACCTTGAGCTCCAGCAGAGAGAGGAAAGAGTAGACTGGAGCTGTGTGAGGAAAATCTAAGGTTGTGGGCTCTGGAGATGGAGCTCAGAGGGCATCCCTCTGGATTCCTGTGCTGAGTCATTCCCCCATACTGCAGAGGACATCTGTCACAGGCAGACATTTACCTTCCAAACAGCTTTTGCCTGAGGGGGGAGTAATTGCTCCACCCTGTTGGAAAACCTCTCTCTCTACCTCAAGGAGTTTCTACAGCTTGAGGCTCATTAAAAGAATCAGATTAATCAGCCTGCAGGCAGAGGCAGACTTCAGAGTGCTTTGAGTCTTTGCCTGATCTGCTTCTGAACCCAGGCCTTGGAAAAGCATTCTTTGGTGTGCATCTTGGTCCTGTCCAAATGCACCCAACCCCAAACAGAGGGGGCCTCAAGTCATGGGTTGTTGATAGCTCCAAACAGGGTACTCAAGGCCAGTCACAAATAGCATCTGACATTGGCCTGCACCAGAAACTTTCCAAAAATACTGAGTCCTAGCAGGCCTACCTAATACATAGAAACAAACCAAAATAGGCAGCCAACATGGGGAGACAAAAAACAAGCCCCAAATGAAAGACCAAGAGATGTCTCCAGAAAAAGAGTTAAATGAAATGGAGACAAGCAGTCTATCAGATATAGAGTTCAGAATACTCATTGTAAGGATGCGCAACGGCATGCAAAAAGATATGGAAACTATGAAAAATGACCAGTCAGAAATGAAGAATGACATAGCAGAAATAAAGAATACATTGGAAGGAAAAACATCAGATTAGAGGAAGCTGAGGATCAGATCAGTGAATTAGAAGACAAGGTAGAAAAAAATCATTCAATCAGAGATCCAAAAAGAAAAAACAATTAAAAAACAGGAGGATAGCCTAAAGGAGCTGTGGGACAACATGAAATGTAACAATATTCACATCATTGGAGTGCCAGAGGAGGTCAAAAGTAAGTAAGATTTAGAGAACCTGTTTGAAGAAATAATGGCAGAAAAATTCCCTAACCTGGTCAAGGAAAAAGGCACACAAGTTCAGGAGGCACAGAGAATCCCAAGCAAGAGTAATCCAAAGAGGCCCACACCCAGAGACCTCATAATTAAAATGCCAAAAGTTCAAGACAAAGAGAGAATATTAAAGGCAGCAAGAGAAAAGCAATCTGCTACCCACAAAGGAGCTCCCATAAGGCTGTCAGATGACCTCTCATCAGAAACTACACAGACCAGAGAGAATGGCATGGAGAATTCAAGGTAATGCAAAACAAGGATCTGAAGCCAAGACGACTCTATCCAGCAAGACTATCATTCAAAATAGATGGTGAAATAAAGAGCTTCCCAGACAAAAAAAAAAAAAAAAAATGCTAAAGGAGTTTATTACCACCAAACCAGCATTGCAGGAAATGTTAAAGGGACTGCTGTTATTAGAAGTAGAAATAGAAGCATTGCAACAAATGTTAAGGGGACTCCTCTAATAATTAGAAGAAATAGAGAGAGAAACATAGGCATAAAGAATTAAAATGGCAATAAATAAGGACCTATCAATAATAACCTTAAGGACTTTAAGGGAGAGATCAACAGCAATACAGTCATAGTTGTGGACTTTAACAACCCACTGACTTACTGGATAGATGTTCCAGACAAAAAGTCAACACAGAAACAGTGACTCTAAATGGCACACTAGATCAGATGGGTTTAATTGATATTTACAGAACACTTCACCCCAAAGCTGCAAAATATACATTTCTCTCAAGTGCACATGGGTCATTCTCAAAGATAGACCACATGTTAGGACACCAAACCAGTCTGTACAAGTTCAAGAAGACTGGCATCATATCAAGCATCTCAGATCACAATGGCATGAAATTAGAAATCAACTGCAGTATGAACATTCGAACATATGTAAATAGCATTATTAAACAATAAATGGGTTATCAATAATATCAAGAAAGAAATCAAAAACTTCCTGGAAACAAATGAAAATGAACACACAACAACCCAAAAGCTATGGGACACAGTGAAAGCAGTCCTGAGAGGGAAGTTCATAGCACTGCAGGCCTACCTCAAAAAGCAAGAAAAGTTTTTAGTAAACTATCTAACCCTACAACTTAAAGAATTAGAAAGCTCCCCTGTGAGGCCTTCCGGACCAGGGCTTTTGTTTGCTGGGAGATTTTTTATTTCTGTTTCGATTTCATCAGTTGTTATTAACCTATTCAGGTTTTCTGATTCTTCCTGATTCAGTTTTACATGATCTCACTCATGTGGAATCTAATAAACAAAATAGACTGAGGAACAAAATAGATCCAGAGACACACAGAAGCATGGAGCAGACTGAGGGATCTCAGTGGGAAGGCGGGGGTGGGGAGTGGGTGGGAGGAGATTAATCAAAGAACTTATATGCATATAGCATAACCCGTGGACACTGACAATAGTGTGGTGAAGGCGTGGGGGGGGTGGTGCGGTGTGGAGGGGATCAATGCGGGGGGAAAAGGGGATATCTGTAATTCTTTCAACAATAAAGATAAATTTAAAAAAAAAACACAAAACTCCTTAACAAGTTCAACAGCAACAAAAAAGAGACACAGTGCTTTATGTATGGGGCGATAGCCCTCAGGAGGCGTCATATGTGGTTTGCCTTTTTATTTAGGTTCAAATCATGAGAATATGGGATGTTTACAATGCCACATAATTACTATAATTTAGAATTGAAACTTGTATCGCATCATTCACGTGGCTGGTTTTATGTTGAGCATGCTTATTGTTCTCACACATTTTGCACATTCACGAATGTCCCTTCCTTTGGGTCTCTGAGTACCAGGGCATTAGCTGTGACAAAGCGGGGGAGAAGTGGTGCACTTGCCACACACTACTTCTCACTGGGACTGGTGTGGACTTCAGGAGGAGCTGACGCTTGAGGTGCCAGAGGGCTGGATGGGATTTCAGGGGCAGGGGCCATGCTGGCCCGAGGGCCTGCAGGAAGCTAGCAGCAGACCTGCCGGCCCTTCTCACGTTACCTCTGCAGGCTGGAGCCGCTGCCGTCCATTGTCCGGATGGTCCGCATCGGATAGCACCCTCTCCCCTGAGCGTGAATCCGGCTTTGCATCCAAAGTGACAAGTGGTGTTCAATCCAAAGGTCACCAGCTGATGTCTACAAGACATTGTTCCCTGCCCCGGGGTGACGAGGGCTGGGCACCGCACCTCTGGAGTACGAGCTGGTGCTGCACCTGCTGTGAGAAGGTGTTGAATTTAGAGAGCATCACAGGCTTAAGCCTCTCCTGGAATAACTGCCCCCACTCCTTGCAGAAGGAGGCTCTAGAAGGGCTCCTTAGGCAGTTACGGAAGCTGTTATTTGCAGGTATGGAAAACCGGGTGAAGAAAAGTATTTACAAGTGTCCTTGGAGAGGGAATTCTCCACTAGAAGATGCAACTGGGAGGTCAATGACAGTGATATTAAAAAAAACTGGGGGGCAGGGAGTAAAGGGGGGAAATGGGGGACATCTGTAATACTATCAACAATAATAAAAAATTTTAAAGCAGGAGAGTTAGTGCGCAGATATAGAAAATTTGGTAGGAAGACAAGTGCGCATGGGCCAGTTGCCTGCCCACCCTGCTTTGTTGGGAGGAGGTGTGGTCCTCTGGCCAAAGGTGAGCAGGAAACGTGAGGTGGAAATGATGCCACTGGCTTTGTTGCTAACATGACATGTGGCAGAAAGATGACCTCTGCACTTCAGGTCCTTGATTTGAAGTATTGGATCAGCAACTCCACCCCTGTGCTCTCTCTGGTAATGAAGCAACAGAGGCCCACTCATTGACCCAATAAAGCTCTTGGAGAAAGGGGCCAAAATTATGAAAAGCAGTTTCTGCTTATGGATCAATATATCTTTTATCTGCAAATATTAAAAAGTCCTGTCACTCCTTATACACTTAGAAATCCAGTCTGTGTTCCCTAGATCCTATTTCATAGCAAGAAGTAGGGCTTTCACTATAATAGTAATAATAATAATAGTGTGTAGCTGTTACACGGTAAGAGCTATATAAGTGTTTGCTACTGTTGTGGAAGATGTTTCCAGAAGGGCTGTCCTGGCGACTGTTACCTTCGCAGGTTGGCAGAGGTGCCGTCCATCTTCCGGAGGCTGTGCACTGGACAGTGGGGGGCCCCTGCAGCTGAAAGCCTCTGTGACAGGAGAAACGGCAGGTGGTGCCCACACCGAATTCTCCGCGAGTGTCCGAACAGTCCAGGAGGCCCCGCTCCGGGGCAGGTAATGCTGGGCACCTGATGGCTGGAGAAGCAAATCGAGACTCAAAATCCTCACGTTTACTCAGAAGCTTTGTTTTGCACTAGTTCGCTCATTCATTCATTCATTCATTCATTCATTCATTCATTCATGTATTCAACAGGTATTTATTGAGCACCTGCTATGTCAGGTGTTGCCAAGCAGCAGGCATTCCACACCCAACATGACAGGCCACCTCCCACAGGGGGCAGGAGGAGGGGGGTTAGTGGGCTTACAGAGAGGGGTGTGGACAGAAGTCACAAAAATGAAGGAGCCTGGGATGGAAGCAGTCACACTCCGGGGTCACGGCCTCCCCCTCTTCTTGTGCACCTTCTCCGGAGACCTCAGAGCCCCCTCGGCTCCCACTGCCCTGTGCGCGGCTGTGGGCCCGGCTTCCCTCCTGCCCCCTGCTGCCGAGGCTGCTCCCTCTCCGATATCCCGCCACCTTCCCCAGTTCAGCGCATCCAGGGCTGTGGGAGCCTCTTCGGTCCTAAACGGCCCCTCCAGTGCGATCCCCAGGTTGTTTCTTTATGTCCCAGCTTCGTGGCCCAGGAGAGCTCAGGACCTCCTGGCCGAGCCAGATCAGTCCCGGGAATTCCCTGAGCTGAGCTCAGGCTTGTTGCCGCTGGTTCTCAGCTCACACTGCCCCGAATCCCTTTCTATTTCCACTGAGTAAAATCCCAGCCGCCTTCTCCTCTCAGTGCAGCATTTCAAGAGGTGTTTGTGTTTTTTTAAGCAAAAAAGCTAAGCAAAATGAGTCTTAGCCTATCAAGGCATTTCTTTCAGAATAGCCTTGGGTTTAAAGAAAGAATAGTTGCTCAGTTTGCCAATAGCCCAATATTTGTTGCTAAATAATAATCTTCTGTGAGAGAATTAAATGGGGAGAAAAGCATCATGAGAAGAGCAACTGCAGTAGTTTATAAAAGTAGTTCTTGAGGTAAATGGTTAGTAAATTAAAATGTCATGTATTGCCAACTTGGCAAATGGTTGTTGAGCCCTATTTGAAATCCTGCCATGAGAATTGTGGGGCCCACGAGGACTTGTGGTCCTTGGGTGTTAGGAGATCTCCATCTAGTAGAAGAGGGAAGAAAGGACCCATGACATGTGAGCACGTGCATTCAAACGAAAAGATGACGTGCTCGGGAAAGGGCTTCAGGGCCTGGAGGGCAAAGGCAGGGAGGAGTCTGGGAAATGCAGGCAGAGCCCAAGTCCCAGAGGCCCAGGGACCAGGGTTCTAACTAAAGAGGGAGTATTGGTGGCACCACCCCAAAACTGAGAGGGACACTGATTACTCCGCCTGTTGCTACCCTGCTTACCTGGTGGCCCT